GAGTCCATTGACTTGTGAGTTTTAAATTCTGTTCATCTTGATTGAAAATAAACTCTATGTCTGGGATGAATGGTTGTGACAGATTGGCGGCGTGCAAAAACCACACCAACCTCTTTCACTACGGTTCGTTGCTAGGGAATGACCTCCGCGGTGTGATTTATCCAGTGTGGATAGATAGAAAGAAGAATGCAGATCACTGAACAAGTATATTGAAGAAATAAACACGACGAGCCCACTTTCAATGAACAAATATAAAATTCAATCAGTTTATCAACAGAATTTAATATGAAAAGAAATCAATGACTTAGTTACAAAAGAAGAAAAAATGGTACTAACATGTACTCAAATAAAAAAGACAATACAAATTTATTTAAATGTAAAATTACTTTCAACGTTAAATTGCTATCCTCTTTGCCAATGAGATGTGACCTTTGAGTGCAACGAAGAGAGACTTCATCACCTAATTTATGCAGACATCAAGACTTCCGTTCGTCCCTGCTCTGTCGATCTCTGTCTAGCTTTTTCGTCTTGGACTCTTGTCCGTCGAACTCTGACTTAACAATCGTCTCTGGACTTAAATTTCTGCATAGGACTTGTTCTGCTCATGTGATCGTTCAGGGATTCCTCGTGTGAATCCAAGAAAGCTGTTTCCTTTTGCCGTTTCTTTATTCGTTTCCACGAATCTCACGTATAGTCTGTCTCCTAACTGAGACAACTATCTGGCCCCTTACTCAAAAATGAAGACGTACTTTTTACGAATTCAAAATGTAGAGTTTTGCCTACTTGCTGAGACAAACTCTCGCTTTACTGCCAAATCACGAGATAACGTCTTACACGATCTCCCGGAGTCTCGACTAGCTTTCCTCGCGAAAGATTCAGGACTGCTGAATTTTCCTAAAGTAAAACCTTTAATTTCTTACAGAGTTACGCCCATAAATCCATATTAACCAATCGGAATAGACTGTTTCCTAAACCTGATCGTAGAATTTTTGGATTGACAAGAAAACTAAACAACTAATTATGCCGTAGTTAATCATTACTTTGAACTATCATCTATAGCCAGCTGCTGCCTTTAACCGGTCGATTTTGGGGAAAGGTCTTATGTCATTCTCTTGTACCATAGCATCTGACTCGGTCATGTTACGTCGGCTAGAACGAATTCCCTTTTGACGTTCAGAGATGAAATGAAAATTAATCATCTAACTATCTCTAACCCTTTCTACTTTAATTAAGTTGACTTTGATACAATTCCTTTAAACAAAGCTTCTAAGAGTTTTCAAAATTCGACACATCACAATGGTATATAATTGTTTGAAGCAATATTCAGTAGTCCTGATCATCTAACTTTTGTCCCTCATGATGACATTAGCAGCACTACAATTTTCATCAGTCTATTGTCTATACTTTTGGAACATCTTAGAAATACGTGTAAATATGATTCAGTAGTTGTCTTTGATTCACTGAAAGCCATCCTTGATTGTACATGTCTAGTACAGTGACGTACATAAATACATACATACATATTAAATTTATCATATTAAATTTAGTAAGACTTTTTCTTTATGATTGTAAGTTTGTAACACATATTACTTCCACTGTCATTTTTTCGCTCTATCCTATATGATCAATCTTAAAAAAGTCATTTGTTTACGTCAAAATAAATTTAACAAGATCACAAATTAATGCCTTACCTCTTCTGCATATTGGGATCGTATAATCCAAACCGGTCTAGTGGTGTTCGAACCATTCTTTATTCTAAAATGTGAAATGGATATATATATATATATATATATATATATATATATATATATATATATATATATATATATATATATATATATATATATATATATATATATATATATAAGCCTACCAGCCTACCAATTATAAAAAAATTGCTTTATGCATGTAGCATCCAGTTTATCTATCCCACTGACATTTGTTGCTCAATCCAATATGACTGATCTTACATAAAAATCATTTGTTTGCAACAAAATAAACTTAACAAGATCAGAAATCGATTACTTAGGAATCTAAAACTGTACGTTGGCTTACGAAACTACTTATTCTCAAGTTGTCTGTAAAATTTGAAAGAGCAACTTGCCATAATTTTTGTCATCAAGTAGGTAGAGTCATGCCATATTGGATGACACCTCGTTTATGTATGAATCATTTGAAAATGTACCTCTTGGAGGCCATTTGAGCATGTGAGAGTGCATATAAATATCTATCTGTGGATAGGTTGATTTTCCTGGAGGCCTTTAGGATCTTTCTCAAATAGGTATATTAGCGACAACATGTAGCCAATCGAGTGTCAGAATGGCGTTTACCTCACTAAACTGAACCATACTTAGATATTAAGTGATAACTTCAATTTCTATGAATTGACTGCGTTTTCTACGTTTTGATTGGATGTAAATGATCTCGTGACACAAATCTTTGACATTTTACACCGATAAATTCTGATAAACTACATATGGATCCCAGTGTTCAAATCGTTTCATTAGAAGTTGTATCTATATTAAAACTAAGACACTGAGTGATAAAGACTGCATACTATTTTTTATATTAACATAA